ATTAGCAATTTTACCATTCACGCCAACATTGCCAACTCTTTCTGCCATGTCTCAAATCAATTCCACAACATTCAATGACAACTGCAAAAACACTAGGATCTGGGCACAAACTGCCACTGAGAGAGGAGTTAATGAATCCCTGTATCAAAGCACTGAGCTTCCATGCTGCCAGACCGGAGCTAGGGATCTAAAATCCATCATCTTTAGCCACGGGACATCGGTGTGCCATTTCCCGCACCGCTGCATTTGGCGCCGTGCGCTCACTCAAACACCTGTGCAGACACCGGCGGCAGAGCAGGGAACCGAGCCCTAAAGGTCACGGAGATAACTGGATGGGGCTCAGTGCCAAACGGTGGCAGCCCTGAACAGGCACACCAGGGTGAAAAACTCCCTAATGTTCATTGTCTCAACTCACGGCCTCCTACCAGACACTCCTGCTCAAGAGCTAGGCGATAACAATAAATGGACCATTCCTGTGTGCAGCATGAACTAGTTAAAACACATCAAAACTGGATTATTAATCACTTTCTAAAAATAAGAAAAGAAGTACCAATAAAATGTTTTAAAGCTGTCTTGGAAACTGAAAGTCCGTTTCTCATCTTCAAATTAGTTTTCCTTTACTAATTCTTGTGTGCTTTAGGGAATAATAAATGCAGCATGCACAAACACATGGGACTTCAGAGACCAAAGGAGTTTAGGAAAGGACAGGAAAAAAACTGAGAGCATTTTGGGACAAGATAATTGTGTATTTAAATAGAATGTTTCCACTAAAAAAAAACAAAACGTCAGGCTCCCTGGCAGTTTTACAGCAGCTGGCGAAACAGCCAGTGACATGCATATCTCAGATTTGAGACTCATTCAGATATAGCCTCTCTCCAGCAAAATAACATCCCTAAAATCAAATATATTTGCCATGGGAATTTTTTTATTCTATAAACCCAATATACTAGGCAAGCATCTATATTATAGTCCATTTTTTGTGCAGATGATCTGCACATGGTAGCCTATAATACATTCACTATTTTCAAAGTACATGATCAGGAACAGAGGCCCTCTTCCAGGTCAAGACTATGCATGACAGCTTGACCCTGCCTAGTAACTAAGCCCTCCCAAACTTCTCATTCACTTACTACTCCCCAATGGGAATGCAGAGAAAATCAGAGAAGTAAGAGTAACAGAACTTGTGGATGGAGCTAAAGTTTAATAAGTGAAGCAAAACCATACTGCTTCCCATTTACAGGCAGATGTTGACACACTTCCTGGTAAGCAGGGCCTCAACACACATAACTTGGAAAGACACAGGCCATAAACCATCAGAATCCACTCTTACCCTTCCTTTCCCTGCATTTTTTTGCCAGGCAAGTTATCTTATGGTATGGAATGTCACTATGGTCAATTTGGGTTAGCTGTTCCAGCTGTGCTTCCTTCCAAATTTCAGTGTATGATGGCATAATCACTGACTTCTGAATTTATTAAGGTTTGTCTTTTAACTTACAGATTAGCTTTTAGGGTAATTTTACCACCTCCAGTTCTTGTGATCAACATAAAGAAATGGAGTGACATTAAGATGACATCCATGGCTGAAGATTACTATCATGCTAAGGAAAAAGAAGATGTGACTTAAAACTTGCATTTAATAACATAATTACAGAAAGTATGTAAACACTTGTGATGTCCTCTGTAAGACACTCAGAACCTACTTGTCATGCAATAGCTCAATGCTTGCTGTAGTCTCCCAGGTTACTCACTGCTGCTAGGGAACAGCACTGTCACCCCAATTGTTGTGGTGCCAGCACTCTATCTGCCCTAAGCAGAAACCTGCTCCACTGTAGAAAGGGGAGGAAGGACACTTTTTAAGGTACGGCAATATATGTACATATATGTCACATCTTAAATGAGGATTTTCTTGCCAATCCCAATTACTAATTATTAAAATAGAACGCAATCTAACTTAAAGGTATCCATTATCTAGTTAGTCTGAAGTTCAAGAATTGACAAATCACAGTAACAAATGTTTATAAAAGATATATATGATGACATGAAGGAGGGGTTACAGTGAATTTTCACACACTAACATTAAAGCAAAACAGTTCTTCCGGTCCCTCATTTGGTTCATTTTCCATCTTGCCTAGGAGGTTAGCAGTCATGGTTTCAAGCATGCATTAATTCCCAGGTGGTACCTATTAAAGACAATATATTCAGAAGTCTTTGCCAGAGAACTTACTCCTAGAAAAAAAGCTACATTTAGACAGTTTTTATATGTTTTTATAATCACAGGAGACCTGCAGAGCACTACCTCAGGATGGTTGCTAGATTTGTCTTGGTAAAAAATGTCTGTCGACAGTTTCTTCTTTTTGGCCTTCTAAGGATATAGACAATATAATCTTTTGCTTGCAAGCTCATCCTAATTCTCTCCCCTTACCAGCAAGCAGTCTAGTCACTCTCATTCACTAGTTGTTACTTCCTCAGCAAAATGTGTTATACAAGATGTTGTCTCCTGCACTTAGCCATTTTATAAATAATTTCTTGCTTCAACAAAGAAGCCTTTTTCGCATTTCACCTTTTGCTGATCCACTGGTTGCTTCTTTATGAAACATCTTTGATTGAATATGTGTTTTATACCAATCTGTAGGAGCTCATCATTTGTAAATTAAATTAGGAGAAATGTACACAATTCTTTGCTGTTTCACGAATGAAATGAGGCACGAGGGCATTAAATACTTTGGGACTGAGAACTGCATAACCACTTCTGGTATTCTCCAAGAGCTATATCAAACTCAAGGACTTACTCTACACTACTTGAAATCCTGGAAAGGCAGGAGTAAAAGCATTGTTCTAAATAGACATCCACGTAAACACAGCCAAGATATGGTAGATAAAATTATTTATATCCACAAAAATTAAACGTGAACAAACTTGGGGCTCTATATAAGAATAAAAAAGGTGGTCTAATGTGGTGAATCATCCTAAGAGAAAACCATAACTGTTACATCAGTAAAGGCAGCTAAAAATAAAGCAAAACACAGGATAGAATATTGAATCAGAACACTCACTTTTTTTTCATGGTCTACAGTCTCTTCTGATATACTGCTTGCAAAATAATGTGGGTTAGTCTTAAGGAAACCCCGTTCTTTCTACTTTCTTGGGTACAAAAATGTAACCCTGTTAATGCTCAGCCTTTATTCAGCCTAGGAAAGGTGGAAATATTTTGCATCAAAGAGATTTTGGTTTTAGGAAAGTGTAATACAAACAGTTCCAGAAAGTTACAGAAGACCTTCATCTCATGAAAAGTTTGCATGCAATTTGCTAAGAGATCCTAACTGGTCTTGCATTTTAAGTGTCATTTCAAGATGCACCTTTAACTTCAGATTTAATTTTTTTCCAAAATAATTCTGATGTAAGCTCACTTCTATTTCTTGGAACAATAAACCAGAGACAACAAAGTCTTACAGACATTCAAGAAGTCAATAACACTTTTAAAGTTCCTCTTCAACTTTCCTATTGCATGTCACAGCATGAGACTCAGACCACATTCTTTATTTGAACAGTTAGGTAGTCAGTGATGTATATGATGAACAGTAATACCATACCCAGAAGAGCACAGCAGCATGCCTTTGCTCCTCATGAATGACTGGCAAATCCTCCTAATCCATCCTGACCACAAAAGAACAAGAGAAATTAAAGCTGAACTAGTTCTATATTTACTGCTAGTGAACAGCTTTCAGGGATAAAAGTGGCCAAACTACACAGGAAGCATTCAACTGAACTTTTGGCAATAATACCAACCACAACCAGATTTTTTTCTACAGATATTTCAGATATTTAAATACCTAAAATAATCTGAAACTAGCACCATTCCATACAAACTAGTTTGAAAAAAAAAAAAATATGGGAAAGAAGCTGAAAGATTTTCATTATTTTCTTGTCCAAAGCTGATTGGAAAGAGAAAGCAATTATTTTCTTGTGTTATTATTATTTTTTTAATGAATATGCTTACAATGAGTACTAAAACATTGTTTCTGGTTGTTTCAGAACCACCCTGCAATATACACAGTGCTTCAACATGATTCTGAATATGGCAAACTCTAGCAACAGATTAAAGCCCTTTGTCTTTCACATTAGGTCTGTTTTGGCCCCTGGCATTCCTTCCTGTTTACTTATATCTTCAAGGTTCCTTGAAATGTCAACATATCCCCAGCTCATTCAAAATTTGCAAATGGCCCAATTTCCCTTCCACTATGAATTAATGCATAATACATTGCAAACAATCTGAACATCAAGAAACATAACCAGCCTCTACCTCTAGTAAACCTCTTGGCTATTTGCCAGATGAAAACAGAGCAGTCTCTTCTCCTCCCAAAGAATCACATCAAGTAACAAACTCCAAGTGCTTCCAGTCCTAGTGTTCTCATTTTCTCAAGTAATTCAACTGTCCTAAAACCCCCTTCACTCAAGTTCTCACAAGTCTGCTTTTTTTTCTTGAAAAGCTATGTTGCACTAACATAAAATTCTTACTCTTTTGAACTACCCTGCTAAAGCAAGCATCAGGTATATCAGCTTGAGGATCTGTTCAGTTTTCACTTAACTTTCTTTGCGAAGAAAAACCCAACAACCTATCATTCCCTTTTATTCTTTGCCTTCCAAGAATAGTAATACTTCACCATAAATTCAGCTGTATTCAGGACTGTGCATATGAATCAGTAGACTACCACTGATGCAAAATGTTTCTTCACTTTTTGAATAAATCCTACTATTGAATCACATAAGGCTTTTGAGTTTTGTTTTGTTTCCTCCCTCCCTAATTACTCCTGGCATCAAGATTTAATTCTCTAACTCTACAAAACCCTAAAGAACTACTACAGGCAGTTTAATCTGATGAGAATTGAAGACATAGAAAGTTATTATGACACATGGTATTTCAGAGTAACAGTTTTCCTCAAACACACATCCAGTTAAGAGAAACCCAGGTCTGGGAGAGACATGGGTCTGTCTGTACTCACTATGTGCAGCTGCAGAAAATCACCCAGCCCAGGGGCACTGTCAATCCGGACAAGAATGCCATCCTTCACTGTTGTGCTGAAGCCCACAGCAAGACGGTCTGTCCTTGTGCTTGGTCTGTCATTAGCTGGCCAGGTGTACAGGATGAGACCTCCACTCTTCCCAAATATATATGTGGCACCAGCTACAAGATACAAAGCCAAAGAAAAATGTATTAGTTACTTATTTACCAAGTCTGGTGGTAATGCTGTGACTTCTGAGAGGAACAACTTAAGCAAGCACAAGCTTTCATTAGTTACAGGGGTGAAATCAATGCATGCTGCTGGCCAGGCCCAATGAAGTACATTATTAGTTCCTCAATAAAGACAAGCAGAATTTAAGACAAAGATAAGTGAAGAGTTTATCAAAGATTATCAAGACAGCTTATTGAGAATAAATGATTTCATTAGTGCTAATACCTCAGACAAGGCTGAATAGGACACTGCTGTTCAGAGGAAAAAACCACAAACCACTCCTGTTCCAGAAGCATGGGATCCAATCTTGTAAATATTTCAAAGGAAATATTTAGCATTTCTCCTTGAGGTTGGACTTGCCTTCAGCTAAAGACTTCACACATAGTAGGAGACTATACTTTTCTCAAGACTTCACGAGATTTTTTGATATCTAGTCCATATATTTCCAGCGCCATTTGTCTTGTCACCCCTGAGCCTGGGAATTTGTTCCTTGCCCTTGTTTTTAAGGACAACACCAAACCTCTCCCATGCTAAACACGCTGTCCTCCCACATCCCTGAGGGCCACCTGAGCTGAGGAAGGCAGAAATGCAAGTGAGGAATTATTGTTGCAGACGAGGAAGCTGAGAAGCAAAAGTGTTTGGAGTTCACATTCTGACTCGTACTCAACAGTCTGAGTTAGGAGCAAGATTTTATAACTCAGCAGTTATACAATTGGCCCCTGAGCTTCTTGAAAAATATATCTAAAATTCCTGTCCTGTTCAAATCTACAGGAACAACACTCCTCCATGTTTCAGCCACTTACTGTGCCTCATTTTTCTGAGCACTATTACAATGGTTACAGAATAGTAAGCAAAAATAACCAGCTTCTGTTACTGCAACAAGGATAAAACATATGTAGAAAGTGCAAGCAATTTCCTGGGTACATTTTCTAATCTGAGTGAAAATACAACTGAGAATTTTTTTTTTCACACTGTACCAATCAGCAACATGGATCACACAACCCTGCACAGAGTGAAAGTAGATAGCTACAGAAACAGGTAGGATCATATAACAGTAATTTCTACACTTGTCTACTGTTGCAGCTTCACTAAAGCTGTCTATGACCTGAATTCCAAATAAATGCTACACATTAGTAGAAATAATAGATACACTTCTCCCTTGCTAAAGAGGCTTCCTATACACATCTCAGAATACATTAACAAAACAGACATCAAAAACTTAGCCACAGAGGAATGAAATTATTTGTGAACAGCTGACTCAATGACAGAGTGAAAATGAATCATGTTTCTTTCTTGCCTTCCAGGCCTGTGCACATCCAACAGAACATGCCCTCAGTAAATTCAGACAAATGTGTCCAAAATCAGGGTTACATAGGAAATTTAAGTCATAATTCTGAATTACTAAAAAACACATTCTGGAACTGTGCACATAAACTATTTCAGTTTGAGAAAGAATAATTTTACAGACTCAGTCTCCTCATTGAGCTTTAAACTCCAGACAGAGGGTGTACAACTATTTTAAGATGTGTAGAAAGAGGTTCTATTTGTATGTTCATTTAAATACATCCCCAGCTCTGTCTGCAACCTTATGGTAAGACAGCTGGAGATGACCAGGTAGTGAATTATCTATGTCCTCTCCCATGCTCAGGTATAACAACAGCCCCCTACAAATATGCTCCTTCAGTTTATCCGTTTGTTCTATAACTTGTGTGTATTTGCACTACAGACTAAAACTAGGCACAGCAATGTCGTAAGCAAAAGTAGATTTACTCACTGTTGATGGCTTCAGAAACTAGAACCCACGTTTCAAAATTACTCTCACTTGAATTTCAATCTCTCCTCCTTTTCTTTGTACTGGCTATCAGGCCTTTCAGCAGCAAAGACAAGCTTGGAAGTGAGTTCTTCACTCTTTATGAAGACAGATTACTTTTTTGCCTCTCTAAGAATCATTTGGCTGCAGGTAGACCATGTCAGTCTTCCAATGAGACCCAACTAGAACCAATTATGTCCTCACAGACCTTTCATGAGACTTAACTACTTCATCAGATCTTATTTTCTCCTCACAGAGCACAGATTTTGATTCTAAGCCTAACCTGACAATAATTAAAACTTTGGTACTGTGGTATCAAGATTCCTAAGGGTCAGAAACACTAAGAAATAGCACAGTAAAAATCTGCCTCTGCTTGGTCTTAGTCCAGTTTTCCCTGAGATGGCTCTACATAATGCTTCGTGAAGACATGCAATACACTGGTTCAACTGGGAATGTCAACTCAGTTCTGGACTTCCCCTGGTCCACAGGCTGTCCAACTTCACCTTAAACATGTCAGGGGTTTACCATGCTGCATTTTGCAGTCATGTATTCTGGCAAGGCACTGAGCTCTTGAAAGAAAGATAATTCAGATGCAACAACCAGAGCAGCACTAACCCAAACAGACCTGCAAGCAGCAGTCTGATGGCCAGTAGTAGCTTGCTTATTTTCCAGATCAGAAAATAATGAGATGCCTAATGAGAGATGTGGCACTTGCTTTATCTCTGTGTAGCTGCATGTAGAAATATTTGTTGGACACATCAATGTCCCTTCCCTTCACCAACTTTTTGAGGACAAATGGGATATCCATCGACATTTTTGGAAAGAGATGCATATTAACATTGTGCCAGTATATTTTTTCCCCCAAATTATGAACCAAATAGTCATTCCAGTCTGAAAGCATAAGGTGCATCAAGTAAAAGTATAACAAGAGTTAGTACCACATTGCGATCACATAAAAAGATAACAAAAACACCCCAACCATGCAACACAAACACACTTGACTAAAATACTTCTATTTGACTGCAGCAACCATGCGTTTATAGAGTTTGAAAGTTCAGGAGAATTGCAAAAAACAAGCAAATTATAACCCTGAACTTCAGGAAAAGTGATTTTAGCTTCACCAGAACTTGAAATGGCCTAGACAACTCTATTGGATTGGACTTGCTTTAATCTTGTGTGAGTAAGCTGGCTAGACCAGTTTACCTCCAGCAGTCCCTCCTGATCTTAAATCAACCTTTATCCTTTCTTTGTGGTGTTGCAGAGAACTGTAGAATAATTAACCAAAGTATTCTGACTAAAAAAAAAACCTGGTGAAATACACATCTGTTTATCTTGAGATCTTCTTGTACCTAAGCTTTGTTACAGTCCCCTTTATTAGACAAGAACCCATATTTTTTTCCCAATATACTTTCTCTTCAAGACAGACAGGAGTATACACTCTTAAAGAGCAGCCACTTTAGTTTTTCCTCACTGTTAAAAGTTTAATTATGTAACTCCTTTAATAAAGACAACACCAACTGTGCCCCAACAATAGAAAAGCCTGAAGAACTGATTAATTTCATTGTATTACAATGTATTGTTGTTACCAGGTTTCACCACTTCAACTATATAACACTAAATTCAAACTATACCGTGAAAAACAAAAAAAAAAACCGAAAAAGAAGAATAATAGAATCAGGGATACAAACACACAAAATTATTTTCCCAGTCAGTTTTGTGAGCAATTGCACTTCTCATAGTGCCCTGGGTCAGATTTACTGTACCAACACATAAAAAAAAATGGAAGTAGAATATTTTCAGCTACTTTACATGTTGCATGCAGAATTTGGTGAGCACTGGGAGCTCAGAAAACTGAACAATATATAGTGAGCAAACACTCCTTTCCTTACAGATTTAAGCTACTAGGACTACCATTACATGCTTAGCATCTAAGTTTATAAACACACAAAACTTAGGGTTGGATGATTAGTAGTTGACTTCTCCCAGAAATGACATAACTTGTAACTTATATCATTAGTGTTTAGACATCAAAGATGGGTATGTTCCTACACATGTGACAATGCAGTCTGCACATCTAGCTTAGGTAAATTATGTAATTGCTAGTTATATTCATGAATAGAGCTGCTAGAATATTCATCTTCAGTCAAAACAAAACAGTTTGAGGCAAAGACTTGTCATGGAAAACTTCTAACAGAAAAGTCATAAGCCACAGGTTATAAGCCACAGCAAATAAAGCCTAAAAGTGAGGTGTTTTAAAAAACACTTCATTTAAGTTGGCATCATCACCTGTCATTAACTCAACATTACCCAAATACTTTGAAAACCTATTTTGACAAGTTTCCTACAATCAACATAGTACAACTGCAGCAAAGTAGAAAAGTAAAGTAATAAAGGAAAAGTATAGTAGTAGAAAACAAGTCTTATGTCTGCACGAATCATCACTTCTATGCTCTGCACTCCTGTGAATTTCCCCACATTAAATAATTGATTGCAAATTCCCTATTTTCATCTACTAAGCCACTTAAAGCCTTGTTTGCCTCAGCTACAGGACAGCACACACAGTCATTTCCCTGTGGCCAAGAAAATGTAACATTTGGTAGGTATTACAGGGTTTATACACTGAAGGGTTAACTGCAGCAACTCTGCACTAGAAGGTGAGTACAAGTTTAATATATGGTAAATGCTACAGCTCATATTTTTACAACCAAAAAGTACCTTTAGGAGGCAAATTATGAAGAACCCAGGCCAATGCAAAAGCTACAATAATTACTTGAGTACCTTTCAGAAATCTGCCCCAAGGTTAGGTTGTCATGAATGGCATGGAATGTTGGAGGGCATTGACCACATTTTAAAGGCATTTTCTGCTTCGGTGATTTGGAAGTTCACCCCTGGACAACGATAGGACCCTGATAAAGTGACAGAATATTTGTAAGGAGAATGCTGTGGCACCTCCAGCGGTGAGCCCTGGAGACATACCCTGTGCCTCACACCACTGCCCAGATCACCACCCTGGGGTTTGGAAAGCAAGTCCTGCAGCAGCACAGCATGCTAGGATAAACTGAGTCTGAAACAGGACTCATTTCAAAAATAACCTTGTAGACACCTGGGCCAGAAAGAACGGTATTGAGTCATATTCCCTGT